ACTTGGCCAAAAAGAGAAAGAGAGAAAGAGAAAGGGGGAGAGAGAGAACAGATGATTATAGGTAGGCAACTTTATCTTTTTATAGACTGCTGTAATAGAGCGATACTCAGTGGCTGAAAAACTAACTTGCTATTTTCATTAATCAATGGATTGGCTGCATAGGTCTCTTAAGCTGGGCAAGGCCCAGCCAGTTGTGGCTGAACTGACTCTTGTGTCTGTAGTCAGTCAGTGGGTGGGTTGGCTAGGTAGGGGCTGCCTGCTTTAGAACAGCCCCACATGGGGTGACCCATATCAGAGATATGACTTCTCATCTTTCAGAAGACCAGCCCAGGCATACTTTCAAGATGGAGGCCAGAGGTCCACTGAGAATGCAGAAACCAAAAATTGCATGGAAACCTAGGCATCGCCCACAGCCACACCTTGTCTACTGATCAGACAGAGTTCAAGCCAGCCCTAGTTTAAGGGATGAAGAAGTAAGAGTTGTGGCAAAGATGTGTTGCAAAGACAGTTTATACAGCTGAGAACTGGGGCCATTCTTGCAGATTGTCCATCACAGCAACCAGTGAAATTTGCAGGGGCTCATCCTAGATGCACAGCCATGGACAACTTAAATCTAACCTGTCAAGGTCAATTTCCCCACCTGCAAAATGGGGATGATAATAAAATCTAGCTTATAGACTCTTATGCAGATTATCTATGTGTTGATCTATATCAAGTTGCTTCCCTTGGTAAGTTACCACGTTCTAACCAATGTGAGTCCTCATGATTATTGGCCAATGATCAAGCACAGCAGTCATAAGCTTAAATATTTTATAGACAGAGTCATAACCAATTAGAACTTTGATGCTTGAGGCACAGCATGAATTTCACACTCACATTTCCTCAAATTTACTTTGTAATTCACCATGCTGCTCACACATTGGTCATACAATGTCATCCTTGCTTTATTTAAGTAATTCTATCTGCTAACTGAAATCTCTCTGAGGGATCTCTGTACACTGAAGGAGCTCCCATACTGTCAACATGTAAAAGCTATTAATATTTAAGTTATACACTCCTCTTTAAAGTGTGTATAATTTCACATTTTTCATACCCTGTAAATATGAGAACGATCCAGCTGAGGTCTGTCTGGGCTGCCCCAAGTTTCTACAATACTTTCATGGTACAGTTGACGGAGAGAATTAAGAGGAAAGGGAAAAAAACATTAGCTGGGAACACAACTTTGCCTGCAGGGCCGCTGCATCCGTTACAGTCCAGGCAGTATCCTAGAGTAGAATAAGGTAGGTTCAGGTCAGTCTGGCTTTCTATTTAGTCCTCTGGTCCTTCTAAGGCCAGGTAAATGAGGAAGCAGACTAACCCTCCATCCATGTAACAGTATGACACGAATTCATTTGACCTTGACCCTCAGTTAAGAGGACATTGTGCAATTTTTCAGACTGAGGACCCAGGTCCATGCATATGTGTGCACATTAACAAATAGTTATGAAACTGAAATAACTTCATGAAACAATATTTACCTTTTGTATATGCAATGACCTCCAGTATTTCTTCTTTTATTGTATTTTCATTTTTTTGAAATTCTGCTCATGACGAATTCAATTAGTTGAAAAATACCATGTAAACAATGATTGAAAATCATTGACATGTATCATTCTATAAAAAGCATTGTACAAAATCCCTCCCTTTTCCAGATGTACTGAAGGGACAGCTTCAGAAGGCACTGTGATGGAATCTATCTACAGGGAGGTTAAGAGCAAAGAATCCCAGGGTGGGGGGAAGGGAGGTCCCTGAGCTCCACGTCTGGCTTGGGAAATTTTTAACTCTGTTGCCCTGGTATCATTATATCAGCTCTGGGGACTTCTCTCCTCTTGAGAGCATGAGGAGGCTGCTGCCCCTCCACTGTTCCATGCATTTAAAACACAGTCACTTAGTCTAGCTCCTAGTACAAAATGAGTCAGACAGAACCACTCTTACTTTGGGAACTGTTGTCATTCTTTAGCTGTCAGTGAAGCTATTTAGTCTCATTTGTTCCTGACAACTAGTAAAGCAGGTTGGTGCAGGACTGGATGCAACAGAAATAAGTCTTGGTTCCAAAGTCTTACTACTCAGGGCACCCCTGGATGTGACCAGCAAAAGAGAGACACAAAAGGTGAGGAAGGAATGTGGTGGGGGAAGGAGGAGGAGAAATTCCATCCACCAGAAAAAGTTCTGAAGTAACACCAGTGCGTTTTTCATAGATGTTCCTGGGTCTTTGATCTTGTGGGCAAATGAAGGTTTTTGTAGGTTTCCATGAAGTAGTATATAAGCCATCTTTCTACAAGTGGCTCAGCAGTATGCATGACTGAACCTTGAATAAATGCATTGGAACCAAGTCCCAATACTAACATTTGCACAAATGAGGCAAAGCAACATCTCAGGGTGGAGGCAGTCCCACCATGGGTCACACCGGCTAATGAACAAACTGAGGGTTACATCTCATCCCCCTATTCCAGATGGCTTGTGTACTCACCAAACACTCAGCCACCCTCAGTGGCCTTGTGGGTATATACTAATTCAAAGTTGTCTCTTTTTCTTTTTTTAAGAATGCTTTTTCTGGGATTGCCTTCAAATCCTGTGGAACATTCACCGCCTATCCTCAACAGTAGCAGATCTGTAAATGTTCAAGCCAAATTAGATGTGGGAAGAAATCAAAATTCCTTTGATCCCAGATGTGGTAGCAATGGAAATGTGCCACTCTAATCTATGGAGGCACAGCTGACAGATGGCCACAGCTGCTGCGTCTTTAGCCTGTGCAGCTTCTAGCTTATGACTGATCATGGTAGGATGTGAAGGAAAGCCTGATGAAAGCAGGGACTGATGGTTTGGTCTCTTTTATCATCACTGGCATCACAGGCTGGCAGAATATCTGAAAGGAGGAGAGGTTCATTGGGGCTTACAGCTTCAGAGGTCTCAGTCCATACCTTGCTGGCTGGCTCCAAGGGGGAAAAACAACACAAAAGAGCCTGGCAGAGGAAAACTTCTTGTATCATGAAGGCCAGGAAGCAGAGAGTGAAGGGAGGAGCCAGTGAGGGAAACACACTCATCCAAGTCACACTCCCAGCAACCCACCTCCGACCAGGTCCCACATCCAGTCAGCAAGTTAGCTGTAGTTCCCCCACATTTAATCACTCATGAAGCTTTGGGGGACAGGTTAGATCTGAGCCACAACAACTGGTCAATCTGTTTAATTTGTATTTAGGGAAAGAGCTTGAAATAGCCATAAAATAAGCAAGATGGACTTCTGTAACTTACACAAGAGCTCAATGAATATTAAGTTAGTCTCACATGAGTGAAAAGACTCCTGAAATAAAGTAATTCTGCTTTCTATAGCAAGACCTAAATGCCTACTAGGTAAGGAAGATAGTCCTGAGTTTCCTTTTAAAAGACCCAAAAGAGATTCTTTACATGGTGGCTTTGATCTCACACTATTCTGGCTTCTACTTCTTCATCTCTGCTCACAGAGCCAGCAGGAAAACTCCCATGAGAGCCAGTGCCCTCTCGGGGAACACCAGAGCCCCACTATGCCACTGGGAACATTGCAGAGTACTCCAAATCCCCTGATTCCTCTTGAAGCTGACCAATGTCTTATCCCCCAGACAGGCCAGAGGAGATAAGGGGGTGATTTCTCTGACTTCATGCCATAGGCTTTATATTGCTTACCTGGAAACACTTCTTGGCACAAGACAAAGAGTTTTCATCACTCTTCCACCCACTTCTTTTATTCATTATGGAGCTCAAAATGAAACTGATAAACAGAACAGGTCCCTTTCACTGCAGCTAAGCTTCTGTTTCTATCCTCATTCAGATTCTTTGGATGCTCTCCAGGTAACAATCAAGCAAACATCTGACGATATCATGAATGTGAAGACTCTTACTAACTGTATTTTCTTATTTTTAGTATTATTTTGTATATCCTGTTATTTAAACTATTGGTGCTCTGGCATCTGGAGCTTTGCTATCCTGAAGGGGCTGCTCCTCCCAGGGCCAATTCCCAGTGACAGCCATCATCTCCCCTGGTTGCACTTTTCCTAGGTAGAGTATTCTAGAGAGAAAGACCAAGAGACTATATATAATTATAAAGAAGGGTTTATTAGATTGACCCATACTCTCAGAGGCTAAATAACCCAACAGCAGCCATCTGCACCCCAGAGAGATAGAGGATCAAGTACCTGTTCAGTCCAAGAAATCACAAGCCTCAGAACGTGCGAGATTAGGGATGCAGCCCTTCTGTAGCTAAAGCCCTGGGAGCTCCCTAGAAAGTTGCCAGGGTGAGACGATGTTGAAAGACTAAGCTGGAGAGAGGTGTTCACAGGCAATGACAGCAGCAAACAATGCACTTGCTTGCAGAGTGATCTTGGATGGAGTGGCAGACTCCCTCACGGCCAAGCTACTGGGGAGTACCTATTTTTTTCCAGTACTGGGGATTGAACTCATGACTGCCTGCTTGCAAGACAGGTTCTTGTGCTGCTGAGCTAAATCCCCAGCCCCCGGGAGTACCTATTTTTAGGAAGGGTCTTCCCCCCCCCCCAGTCTGCTAATCCACATGCAGATAATCTGTAGAAGCATCCTCTCAGACACATCTAAAGGGTGCTTTACTAAGTTTTAGTACTTGATCCAATCAAGTTGACAAACAAGATGTGTCACCACAATAGGCAAACAGATCAATTCCATATCCACTGAAAGCCTCCTTCATGGGACACTCATAGGTTACTCCATCCTTTCCTCCCCACTCTGCCTTAATCACCCTAAGGCCAAGTATTGCACTACTAAGGTCAATCCTACCAGCCAATCTGAAACCTACCTAGCCTGCATACTCTGCCTTGCCCGTCTCCTCCCACAGTGCATGCACGCACACACGCGCGCACGCACACACACACACACACACACACACACACATACACACACACACACATACACAGAGGCTGTTGCCCATGTTCTTCCCTCATTTTTCCCTGACTCACCTGGGTATTCTCCTGTGTGGCTCTGGGTGACTCGGTGTATCCTCTTCTTTTGGGACCTGTGAGTAACAAGCCATCTTTTCAATACCAGTCATCTCCTTATCTGTCTGCCTCTCCATACCTACAAAACAATAAAACCTTCCTTTTAAAATGAACAGGTGTTAGGAATATGTCAATGGGGGCCATCTATCCTAGCAACAGCCAAGCCAAAACTTTGTGTTAAGTGTTCAAATAACATTTTTTATAGAGTACCTCATAAACAACTTCTGGTTTAAGTCTGCTAGTGGCCATTTTCATCTTACAGACAAAAACTGGAGTTGTTTAAGCAATGGCAACATTACTAAAAGATGGTTATACTTTCTATGAGTCCATACATGAGACTTGGTGGTCAGAATGAAGAACATGGAATGTACTGTTGGTTTGAAGGAGGTGTCAAAACACACACCAATAAAAAGAGCAATCACAACCTTTAATACTTCCTGAGCTCTTCCTACGGGCAGGCACCAGTGTAGGTAATTTTCCTACACTCATTTATTTAATCCTCATGTCAACGTTGAGGGTGATCCCCATGGTAGAGACCACTGTGTTTTCCTTGTTTCACAGTCAATCTGAGATTAACAGCCTGGAAATTTATGTCATACTGTATTAGAGCTGAAAATAACCTTAAAGATCAACATTCTACTTTTCAGTTGAAGTAAATATGTTCATATGTCCTACTCAACTTGAAGGTTTTGTTATTTTCGAGCCTAATTCCCCAATAAGGCATACATGCTCTGATTTGCTAGTAGTGGGTTCTGACTGCTTGACCTTTAGCCCAGCAATGTCATTTATGGGAAGTGACGCCTCCTATAATAATATCAAACCCCATAATCCATCATGCATACTTTGAAAGCACTAAAGGGAAATGTGTTACAATAACCAAACATACCTAGTATATATCACACAGCTTGCCTAAATATTTCCCATTTATGCTATTTTGAGAACTGGCTCCTAGCCCAGTTCCGACAACAGTGTTCACAATTAAGTGAAAGAACATGTGAGTATAGTACTTGAAAATACAATCCCCCCTCAAAGGAATATTAGTTACGAGTTTCCTCTCTTATGTATGTGAGGTTCCCTTTTAAGAATTTAAGAAATATGGATTCTACAGTTGTCTCACTTATGGGAAAAATGTGTGTCCTGTTAGGTTTCTAGAGGACAATAGTATGTCAGCTCTCATCAGCTTTTCCTTCAAAGATTTTTCAGAAGCCAAGCCCAGAAGCCCCTCCTCTCCCATAGCAACTGCCTCGCCCTTGGCAAAGACACAAACACTTTGTTCTGCTCAACCCTGGTTACATTAATAAGCCAAGTGCCCTAGACAGCAGCAGTTACCACAGAACTGTCTCAAAGCCAGCTCAAAGGGCACCAGGAGCTCAATTTCTGGTCACAGTCCCACTGTGTTTTTGGATTATAGCCCTTGGTGGCATAGCTACATCTTGGGTATAGCCCATCTTGGGACCAAACCCATTGGCTGCTGACAACCTGATGCAATCAATTAACTGGGTTGTTCTGAGAAAAATTCTAATCAAATTCCAGTGAACAGGATGAATCCATCTTTTCCCCCCATACCTGGATGTTTCTGCACCAAGTCTAAAGCTGAAGGAGGGAAGAATGGTAGGGATGTGACTTTTTTCAAGATTGAACATCTGGCTTAGATCTATTAAACTACAGCTTTGAATTAGTACATTTTATACTTTTCTCATAAATTAAGAAAAATAACAATGTGTTGAACTAGAAAAAGTTTTTGAGCTCTTTTAAATTATGCTCAAAGGTTTTTAATTTTAATTTTAAAGAGACAAAGGATCTTGGTCCGCAATCACTGAATATTATATGCCAAGCAAACTCATTATATTCTTTGGTAAAATATTTGTACTCTGGATTTTACCAATTAGAATTAAAGTAATGTCTCAAGTCAAATTATAACTTTGATTTAAATCTACAGTCACTGTATAGGTCTATCAGTAGAATCATGATATCATGTATTGTCATAAATCAACGCACTGGGCTGGGGTTATAGCTCAGCAGCAAAGTGCCTACCTGGCAAGCACAAGGTCTTGAGTCTGATTCCCAGTGCCAAATATAAACAAGTAAATAAATTCATTTTTTCACAATTACAAGGTAACTGGTCCAACTCACAGTTCCTTTAGGTGTTCATTCTATTGCTTTATCCATTTATGAGTTAGGCCACAACTGTACTAGCATGTGTTTGATCAGCCTCCCACCTCCTGCTTAAATTTTTATCTTTCTCCATAAGATTAGAGGATCAACAAAAAAATAAACTGCAACTAAACGAGACACCGTGCATTCATCAAGTCCCTCACAAATTGTGTGTATATATGTGTAGGGGAGATTTTCCTATCATTAAGCATCCCAGACTAAACTGGAATAGAATCATACTAAACACTCTGGATTCTTTTAAAAATTGAGCTACCAAGCCTATTTCCAACTAACAAGCTTTTTTAAAAAATATGCTGCTTGTGGGATTTGAAGTACAAAATAATATAAGAATAAAAGCATCTTTTTGAAGAAGGACTTTCCTCTCTAACTCTCCATTTGTTCAGAGGAGGGTGTAGTGAATGATTACTATAGGAAAGTTTGTTTAGCCCAAAACTGAGAAGACAGAGAGGAGGAAACAGAATACAGACCTGGAGTAGGTTTAGATGAGGGACAACAGCTTCCCCATCTCTTTTGATGAAAGGGCTTAATGAATAGCAAGACAAACTGAAGAACCATTTTAAGGCAAACTTTCTGACTTTTCCAAACCCTGCCAATGTCGTAGCCAAGAATTGCTCAGAATAACCCTTCAAAGATGTTTTTAGTGTGATGTTCTTGTAAACTTATTTTTCTGTTTTCTGTGCTATTTATCTTAAATTTTAGACATTCTAGACTTTTATGTTTTTTATTACCCAAGTAATACACCAAGTAACTCATGTTTATCATAGAAAAAAATCAAAATACAGATAAACAACAAGAAAAAGTGAACCACAACTCCACCGAGAGATAAGCACTGTTTATCATCCTGGGGCACAGGCTTTGAGACTTTTCTCTCTGCTTCCCTCTCTGAGATTGGTAAAGTAACTGCTATTTCAGTCATAAAATGTAGCTGCTAAGAATGATGTACATGTGACGCACCAATATTAGGCCTTGGCCCTGTGTTTGTCCAAAATCCGCTCTTTGGTTTCACCTTGGCCTTGGCCTTGGCAAATGAAATTGCTGAATGTCAACTTTAAAGCTATCTGGAAACCTTGAACTTGTTCAGAGATCTGTTGGTGGAGTGGATCACCATCACATCCAACTGGCAATAATGTCAGTACCATGGATAAGACACAGCCATGTTTCCAGTGGATATCTGAGTATTTCCCTAAAAATGGAATCATTTTAGAAATAACTTGGGGAAATATCTTCATGTACTTCATGTTTGAAATTCTACAGGGTACAAATACTACAAGTACATGTATTTGAAGTAAAATGCTATGGTAATAATTAAGAATGATTACAAAAGTTGTTCATTTTGTGAACTAAAATGCTTTTAGAAGCTTTTAAAAGGTTAAATAATTAAAAGAACATTTTGTTAACATTATTAGTACAGTATTAATAAAGAATGAATTAGACAAATAGCTTAGGAAAGTCAGGACATCATTTTTGAACCAAAGTAGGTTTATAAAAATTTAAATAATGTAAGGCAGACTAATATCATTTATTTAATGCTATTTGGCCATGAATTTTTGAACAAAAAGTTGTTTCACAACTTTTTTCCTGTTTAAAAGGTAAACTTAAACTACAATATTAAACTCTTCTACTTAAAAATCTGATATGGAGAAAAAACCCTCAAGTCATGCACCGTCATGTCCATAATAGCCATCTTTTAGCAAGAATTAATAAATAGGGGCTAAATTATGAAACAAATTGTGAGGGAAAGATGGACAAATTTAACACATTTTATTTTCACTAACCCAATTTCAAAATATCAACCTCATAATAATGCTCCAGGAAGACAATTCTAAATAGTCCTCAACCCTAAATACAAAGTTCCCTAACATTTATCTCTATAGCAATCAGTCATTTGGGGCAGTCAAAGTTCCTTTTAGAAAACTATCATAGAAATCTCTTAAATATATTCTGCTGTACAAAATGGTTGGTGACATTATCAAATATGTCAATTGAAAGTGATTCTTCATTTAGTATGCAAATGTACAGAAATGTAGCTGCAAAAACTGTTTAAGAGTGTACAATCCTGAGAAACTATTGTACTGCTTCTAGACTATAACAACAAAATTATCAATTTTCTATTTTTCAGTAGAAATTATTTTCAATATTTATATTAATAATAATACTATCATACCTTGAATAGTTGCATAAATTTTAAAAATATTCCAGAAGTTTTGTTAATGATTATGACATCTGACTTTAGTCTCTGCTTTAGCAGAATTTATGTATTAATCCTCAACCATTTGCATTTTATTCAGAATGTAGTGTGTCCTGACTATATATTTGTATTATATATGAGACAGAGAAATGTGTATTTCTTAAAATGCTTTCAGTGGCAAGGATGGACACTCCTACCCAAAACAACTTTTCAAACATGTTCAGGGAAGAGAATTTATTAGGTCACATACTGAAAATCTCTGAGGGTCCACAATACTTGCTTTAGGCAAGGTTTTATCTTTCATCATTTTTCAGCTCTACTTTCCAAAGCCATCGGTCTCGTTACCAGCCTTCTTTGTTATGGTCCAAGATGGCTGTCAATATTTTCTGTAGACACTTGCATTCATGACAGTGTCCAGAAAGAAACAAAATCATGTTTGTCCCAAGCATTCCTAGCAAAACTCATGAGCTGCAACCTGATAAAAGTATGCCTATAAGACATGTCCATCTCTGAACTTATCACTTCAGCCAGGTGGGTACAGAATATTTTTTATTCAATCAACCAGTTTTCAACCCTGAAAATGGAAAAAGACCAGTTCTGCCTGAATTGGATGGGCAACTGGTGAGTTCCCAAATGAGTTATGGCAAAATTGGTGTAGGTCAGCAAATCTATAACATAAAACCATGGCTACTGTTAATAATAAAATATTATTATAA